TCTGAAAAAGCAGTAGCTTGGTAGATTACACGCATCTCACGAGGTTTGAGGAGCAGTGGCAGTGCCTTCCAGCCACGTTCTCTTCATTTTTTGTCACACTGACGTGACAGCCGAACTGAGGCAGAATTCCTGGGAGGACATTGCAACCTACACCATCACCCTGGTAGTTCCTTGCAGTCTGGCACAGGTAGATTGAATTGTTCTCCCCATAGGGATGATGAGGATGAGCTTTTGGAACCKCTTGGTGGTAAAGTCAGTGGAGATAAGAGCTTAACTAGATTAAGAGGCAATTTGATGATGCTTACGCTGTGAATTGTGTAACACTTGCCTGAGAGAATGAGAGGCCGAAGAGGAGGCCCTGAGATGTTCTTCCAGCCCTGGCTTTCCATGTGCTGCTTGATTTTAAACATCTTTCTGCAAAGCTGACATAGGTAGGACAAGAAAAAGCAAAGTAGACCCAATGGGCAGATCTTCATTTCCTTGTCCAGTGGTCTCTCGCTCTTTGGAGTACTGCATTAAATCCAGGGATTCTTCCAGCTATTTTTTTTTTTTTTATGGATTTCTCTGCATTTCATGACAAGGCTTTGTCTGATGTAGAGAGGATTAAGAATAAGTCACACGTTAGATGTCATTTGAATTCTGAAGATCACCCAGAAACTAGCCAAACTGAGTCTTAATCTGGTGTCCTACCTCTGGCACAGACCAGGTGTCCGCAGCCTGGCAGGATGGTTAAGTGTTGGTTTTCTTTGCCAAAATGCAGTAGCTGGTGTAACATAGACAAGATTGAACTGTTCCCCTCCCCTCTGAGCCAGCCTTTTGCCTGCAGTGACAACACCAGTGACCTGGGAGATTTGTGCTTCATTTGATGTGGTTGTAAGTGCAGTTTTGCATTTGAGAATGTTTATCCTTTACTGATTTAGTTGTCTTGATCATGTTCTCCATGAGGACATTATCATGCATACTGATTAGTTTTGAATAAATAAAGTTTCCTTCAGTCTCATGTATGCATATATATGTATATATAAATAAAGTATAACAGATTTGCTGTGATGCACTTTGGAAAGGATGATTTGGAGTGTCCATCTCCTTGTATGCCTGTCGTTATTTTAGATGCCTCTCCTGTGACCCTTCGACTTCTCATACTCATGAGTCTGATCTTTTTAAACCCTTCTCTGTGTGCTAGTTTCACTTTACAAAAGCTGAACTAGTTTAGAAGCAACTGGGTTGACGGGATCTTCCTCATAAGCTCTTAACAGCTACAGCCCCCCGTGCTCATCGCAAGCTGAACTTAAACTATGTCAAGTTGTGTGCCGCTTTGCTGTGGCAAGTGGAGATGTTTGTTGCAGCTGTCTTTAAATTGGGATGTTTTAAATGAATTAAATATGAACATGAATAATGCAACTGGTAGCCTAGCCTTTCTGCAATTAAATRCAAACTTGCTCATTTTGTCTCTTATGTTATTAGGTTTTGATATGCTGCAGTATTTGCACTGCCTTGTAGGAATGAGGATTTAGAACTTGGGATAGTTGAGTGGAGCCCTTGTGACTTCTGCTGTCTAGTGAGCGGAAGTTAGAGCCTTTTCCGCAGCCCCAACCTTAACTCTCTTACAAAGARGCAGCAAATCAGTTGTCGTCTTAGGTTCGATGCTAACATCCCATTGAAACAAATTTGCGCCTTGATCTCCCTTTGTGCCATAAATTCAGGAAACCASCTCCACAGGAGATTGTTTCCGTGCTCCCTAATTTCAGGAATAAATTGGTAGCTATAAGCATGAGAAATATATCTTGAGAAAAAAGAAAGGAGCTTGAATTCTGGCACCTAGTTTCGTACAAGCAGCAGGTTCTGCACAGAGAGAATTACAGACTTGCTGGCCTCAGCCCTGTGATTCTCAGCTGCTTTGTTTGATGCAAAAGCAAAATTGTTTGCTGAGTATGTAATTGGCACAGCCAGCAAGTTCTTCTTTGGGACATAGTTGTATCTCATGAGTTTAAGCAAATGCTTATCTGTATGAATAGTTTTTCCCCCTTAGGTACCAAACCGTAACTCCTGCTATTTCTTCTTCTGAGATTTTCTTGGTATTTAATGCCTGAACAGTGTAATAGAGCAAATACATCTATACAGTGTAATTTCCTATCCTGCCTTGCCTATTCCTTTACTTCCTTGCCGTTTACTTTCTTCTGTCTAGACTGAAGTTCCTCATCTTCCCTAGGATGTTTCAAGTTTGTTAAAGCCTATAGGGTGATTATACTTCCCTTCTGAATAGTTATGAGTGAAATAAAATCAAAGTGTAGTTTAGATTGGATGGAGCTTCTGGAGATCGTCTGGATCAATGGCCACCGCTCAAAGTGAGGCTAACTTTGAAGCTAGATCACATTGCTGAGGGTTGTAGCTGGAATATGCTTGGAGGATGCTCCAAGGATGCTCCAAGGATGGAGATTGTGCAACTTCTGTGGGCAACTATATACAAAGCTCAGCCTTTTTGTGTGTTTGTTTTGTTGTCATTTTTGGGAGGCGGATGAGGGAGAGCGGGGTTGAGCTACTGGATTATTTTTGTTGTGTTGTCAGAGACTGGTTAAACTGCTGCTATTCAGTATCTGCAGCTTTCCTCCATGGTGTTTACTAGCAAAATTATAACCACTGGCAATTAGGGTCTCTGAAACCTTTACCTTGTAAAGCCTGCCTTATACCAGTTTAGGAAGGACTGTGGCTTTGTCTTTGTGGCTACATAAGAGAGCAGGGACTGATACCTGTCCCTGATGCTAGAGATGCTGACTGGGGTTGGCTGCCTCTAGGGCAGATGGGCATGTGCTGTAGCTGTCAGTGCTGGCTCTTAGTGTCATAGGGCCCTAAAATATGCTAATTATTTTACACATTTGTTTGTTTTCAAGTGTCTGGGGCAATGTGAGGGCTGTGCTGATCTCTCCGGATGAAACTATGTGTTCATGGCTTGTGTGGTGTGAGAATCAATGGGACATTTTAATGGTACAAAGCCATGGGTGATATGGGAGGACTGTGAAGGGTGGAAGGAGCCAACCTGGTGCAATGCCATTTAACTATTTTTCAAAAGCAGATTTTGGAGTGAGCTACCCCAGGCTCATTCCCATATAGCTTCCCGCAGGGCAGGCAGCCCTCCCGAGGTCCATCTAAGTCTTCTCATTTGGGGAAGAGCCTCTCAGAAACTATTTTCAATGTCCTATTCTCTTCCATGAGAGACTGTATGCAGTATAGGCTGTGGGACTTGATGTGCTTTATATTTTACTTCTTATTTCTACTTGTTGTGTGGGCGAGGACCAAAGGTGTTCTACTTTTGCTWCTGAACTGTAGTCTTCCAAGCCTAGTGTCTGAACATCTTCACATTTCTGCATCTGAACATCTCCAAATCTCTGCAGTTGCATGTGCTTCCCACACATGGCTCGGAAGCACTCAGACTGAAACAGCTTCTCGAAACCCACCGGRGTGATACAGGAGCACGATTGCAGGSAAGGGAATGAGCTTCCTGATTAGCGGTCAGGTACTTGAGCAAACGTCACGTGCAGGCGCTTTACACGAGTGGAGCCGAGCAGAGAGCAGAGCCACAGATTGTGGATACTAGTCCGGTGCCTTTATATAGCGCCTTTCACCTGGACTTTTATGGCAGGAGGACTTTTCCTGCCGTGCCTGTTAGGTTTTTAATAAAAATAACTAAAAACTATGAAAAGAAGCGTTAGAAATCGTTAATAAGCTTTTACACGTAGATTACCTGAAGTTATTATAAGGAAGAGAAACTTTACCCTTTTCACAAGTATGCACAGCCAAACACATGCTCTTTTTTGAGAGGCAATAGAGGCTGCTTTGTACCGTTCAGTTTGGATTGAAAAAGCAGCTTCTTTTTTTCTTTCTTTAGTCTTATTTCAGAGATTGCTTAACATTTAAAAGCACTGAGTAGAAAGCGTGAGCTTTTCACATTTTTCCAGAGGATTAAATTCTTCATTTTTCTTAGCTTTAGAGGAAAGGTTGTTTTTCAAAATCGAAATGTCCAGCCAAGTTGGATCCGTAAATATCCCTTTAAGCAAAAATTCTGCCCCCTATTCTGCTCCAGCTTCTTTTTGCTGCAGTATTCCAGCCTGACTGCCCCACTGCGAACAAAATGGGGTTGTATTGACACAATTAATCTGTCATTAGTTAGCGTGGTGTCAAAGCATGCTCTAACTCGCTTTCCTAAGGGCTTGTTCGTGACTTAGCCATTCATTTAGATATTTTCTGTTGGGGTTTGGCAATATTTGGCGGATTGCTCGCTGCACGAGGAAGGCTCTGCTGCCCTCTGAGACTAGTTATAGAGGGAGCAGTGGTCTTATCTCCCGAGAAGTTTGATTTTCTRTAACGTTTGCTTGGAACAAGAATGCAAATCCTTCTTTTTTTTTCGGGGAGTGGGGATGGCCTAGCCAGTTTTTATCCAACCAGCAGAAAATATAACACAGCTTGGACGCTTCTTGCAGTAGTAATAGCAAAAGTATTTCCTGTCTCCTCGTCCAATTTCTCATCCTTCTTACCCAGAACTGCTGTGAMGTGCTGGAATTGCAAGCACTAGGCTGATGTGGGGGGAATGTGGTGCTGCTTTGCCAGAGGTAATGTTACATTTCCACGTGTTTCCTTACAGAAATTTCAGCCCTGCCTCTCTTTGCTAGTGAGCGGGAATGGCCTCCCCTTTCGTACTGGCACACGGGACCCACGGGACCCTGAGCACAGAGATTGGCATGTGCTCAGCACTTATTTATGCATTTTCTGCTGCCATAAATTTAAATTTGTCCACACGTTGAAGAAAGACACCTTCTTGTCAGTGAATTGCCTGCCTCTAATGGGAGGTTTCTAATGTACCCTGCACTGGCAGCGCTCATATTTTTCTTCTTGCTGTATAATTCGTTAATGTTGCATCTCATCAAAGGCTTGGGAGCTGGGGGGAGTTTCTCTCACGTTTCTTTCTTTTGCCCTAGGTACCTCCAGTTCTGTAAAGGTCAAGCCAGTTCTGGAATCAGGCCAGCGGCGGGTGATATAATGCGGAAACCAGGCCCTCAAAAAGGTGAGCAGCCGCACTTGGCCTAGTCGAGGAACGTAGCTCATCTGCACTGAGAGGTGCTAGCCAATTGAGGAGTAGAGAGACGTGGGGGACACCCTGGTCGTATCCTGATTTGAAATGGAGTCCTGGGAAGAGAGTTATTCCTCCTCAGAAGAGCTGAGAGGGGAGCAGCTCCACAGGATCCCCGCAGTGGTCGGGGCCTGGTGGCTGGTGGCCACACGCCCAGCGTGCAGCCGCCTGGCCTGGCCTGGCGCTCGCCTCTTCTCGTGCGGCATGAAACCCGCGGGCAGCCCAGCTCGTGCAGGTGAGACGTGCTGCAGACACTCTCCTCTCCCAGCACGAGCCCATTATGGCCACAGCAGCGTGGAGGGCTCGGGGTGGCTGCCGCGTGGTGCCTGTGTCCCGTCTGCCGCACCATAAGGGTTAGTCTCAAACAGACTGGGTGCAGCTGGGCCGCTTGGGCTTTCTGCTCTTGAAACTAGCTGACTAAAAATATATCGATTTCCTTTAGTGTTGTTCCATACATGTGCGTTTGACCAGAGTGATCTCATCACGCTTGCTTCAGAGGAAGGGGGAAGGGAGAAGGGCTGAGGCTGGAACATCCTCTGCAGCTCTTTGTTCACATCTGCTACATGCGTGCAGGGTTTATTTCAGGAGGTTTCTGTGCTTGATTTCTCTCTCTCTCTCCCATTATTATTATTATTATTATTATTATTATTATTATTATTATTATTATTATTATTTATTTTATTTTATTTTATTTTATTTTTTTTTTCAATGTCTCGTTTGCTTTGCCAGTGGTTCATCTTACAGATGCATTACCCCCTCTCCAGTGCAGCTTGTCCTTTAATGAAGAGAAAATAAATGAAGGAAAACAGGGCCGGAGGAGAGCTGTGAAGCAGCTGGGGAGCTTGCTAATAAAAGAGGAAGGTTGATTAGTGAGCAGCGCAGCCTCGGACCTGCCTGCCCGGGTCCAGCCTCGTGTGCACCCAGCTTGCCATCTTCTGTCTCGTGGAGCAGGGTGGCTGCAGTGTCACACGCGTGACCAACACCTGTATCACATGCAGTTGGGCTCATGTCCTACTTACCTGCTTCAATTTTTTGTCGTCTTTTTTTTTCTTTAATAATGCATTTGACTTTTGCTTTTGTTCTTGGCGAACGTAATTTGCCTCCAGGAATTCTTGCACTGCTTTGGCCTCTCCCTCCCTTCGCTGCATTTTGCAGCCTGCATAACGAGGGTTTTGACATCTGTGAGATGAACAACAAAATGGAACTGAAGCTGCAGAATAGGGTGGTAGGCTCCCTAAAGTAAATGTCCATTTGAGTGCACAAACAYAACATGATAGAGTCTGAGAAGAGCATTAGGAACCATAGGAGTCTTTTTTTTTTGTTTGTTTCTGACTTTGATACTTCATGTCCTTTATTCTTGTTTTCTTAAGGAGATGGCAGAGTAACATCCTTCATCAGAACACAGTTAGAGCAAGGGTTTCCTTCCAGCTTTTTCATTCTTCTTCTTTTTTTTTTTTTTGTCTCTGAGGAAGCTTTTTAGCCAGTCTGCTTCTAATGACGCCGTGACTGTACTCCATATGTCCCCCTCCATTTGAGAGAGAAAACATACATGCAATCTTCTTGTCCTTTGTGTTGGAAAAGAGGTGTCAGGAAGAGAAGATTGCAACAATAATGGTTCMGAAGCCACTTTAAACAGCTCAAGCTTATCCTCCAGGTCGCTTAGTAGCAGCTTACAACCTGCCTTTTTACAGTTGCTTGTGAAGAGAACTTAGAACTTYTCTTACATTTCTTTTTCTTCTTTTCTTTTCATTTTTGTGCCTTAAAAATTCTATGTAAAAYAAATGAGCCCAGACTGTAATAGCTAAAAGGTATTGCTGGGTGTGCATTAGTCAGTGYGTGGAATAGTCCCCTTCGATGAGTGACTTGCTCAGGGAAGGCTGACTGATGCAAGCTGGGGTAGGGCACACTGCTCTGTCAGAGTTTCATTTGGCTGAAGGCTGCTGGAGGTGGGGATGGGAGCCCTTGTTTCTTGCTGTGTCAGTCTTTGGGAAACAGACTTGAGGTCCAAAGCAGGGTGGAATTGGCTGTAGATACTTGTGTTACCTGAATCTGCGACAGGGAGGTCATTTCTCATCCGAGACACACATGTACATGCACATGTAGAGAATGTGACGTGACTGGTTAATGTTGAGGAGAGCATCGTTGAGCTTCTTGCACTGATRCAGATGCTTTTTTTTCTTGTATTAGCCATAGACTGGAAGGATGGTAAAAAGCACAAGCACAGCCGCCCATCAGAATCTCCCTCCCAATACCAAGGTAAGAAATATGTTTCACCTTCGTAACGAGCTAACTCATTTTTCATTTAAGCAAGAGAGAGAGTATCTGTTTCTTATTGTCCAATCTTGAGTGCCATATGGGTGATTCTGCCCATATTTTTATCTGTCCTTGGTGTAATGGACTTCCTAACTCCTACACACACTGTTCTTGCACATTCAGAGAAGTGGTTAACACAGCCTTAGGTGAATGTGGTACAATAGTTTCAGACCACTGAATGCTGCACATTCCCTCTTCCTCTGCAGCAAGAATTTGGCTCCCACCCAAGCAGCCAGGAGCCCGTTGGGAGTCAGCCCAGCTGGTAGAGTCTTCAAGAGCTAAGGGCAAGYGATGGAGGTAGCAGCACAAGCACTCCTCTTTCCCCGTGGAGATCATGGCTTATGCAGTTCATTAACAGGGCACGTTGTGGTCCTATGCAGAGCATCTGCAGATTAAATTTACAGACTGACAGTTCCTGCTATCTCTCATGGGGGATATGCAGGCAACTTCCAACTGCATGGAGTTAGCATAAGGCTTGTATAATRTAGACCATATTTTGCTTGTAAACATAGATTTCAAAGTTGATGTCCAGATTTTCCACATTGTAGAAGCACAAGAAACTAAAGCATTGCTTTAGTGATGAAATGCTCCAAATGATTGGAGACAAATCATTTCTGATGGGAAACCTGTTTGGCTTCATGAAAGGCACTCTGGTGTCTCCTTGAGCCCCCATGAGAGCTGAAGTGGCTGTTGTGCCTTGGGGGCTCAGTTAGCATGGACCCTGAGGTGGGATTCAGGCCTGTTGTTCTCAGATGTTTTGGGCTSTCACCACTATCAAACTTCAGCAGTCTTTTCTGTAGCTTATCAGTGCTTATCTGCCTTTCTATTGAAATCCTGCAGATCACAATTTCAGAAGCACCATCCACAAGGGAAGGAATCTCTCTAGCACCTTGGCAAAAGTCCTGTGTCCTCTGCACCTGCTGAGTGCTAGATGCTGTTGCAGGGCACCAGGCCAGCTCAGTGGCCTGTGTGCAGTCCATCTCCAGGGCTTTGAGGGCTCCACTGCAGGTTCTTCTTTGTTTCACCCTGTACCATCTCCGTGTATCCGAGGCCTGGCACTTGTTTGGTGACAAGGCTGACTTGAAATGGAGCCCCCTGTGAAATTCATATGGAGGCACACGTCCTTTTTATCCTTCAAGATAATCCTGTGCACCAGTCTCAGCGCCTCAGTAAATCTCAGAAGTGGAAGRGGGGTGCTGTAGATGTGCTGCTTTATGTGTTGTGTGCTCAGTGAGTGCCCTCGGTGAGGATGTCCCCTCTGCGAGGAGYGCTAACCAGCACGTCCTGGCCTGTAAAGCTGGGTTACATAGCAGAGAGCAGGCGTTTACCACTGCTTGCTGCCAAATGGCTCTCCATGGTACACCATGATGGGATTTTATTTTTCTCAAAGTTAAAATGGAATTTGGACACCTTTGAACAGAAGCAAAGCAGGCAGTGTGTTGGTATCTGAAATCTAGCAATTTTGGTTCTAGTACTTTTTCTGAGCAAGACAGTGGAGTAAGTAGTGTTGTTATCAGTTCTAGCTGTTACTGACGGAGAAGGCACAACTAGATATATAGGTTAACAAACTGCCTCCAAACAAAAACCAAAACAGGAAGCACAGGAACAGAGCCATCACAAGGAGAGAGCYGGGCTTCTTGGAAGATCGTGCCGCGTTGTTGAGGATCGCCCCTGTTGTGCTCGGGTCTGTGAGCACAGATGATAATACTGCTCATTTTCATACCGAGTTTGCTCATACTGTGCTGCTTTCATGTGCTGCCTTGGTAGTAGTTAGCAGACACACATATGGGATGCAGACTTTAATGGGATGCCTTGATCTGGGTAGGGCACGTTCTCCTTCACAGATGTGAMCTGAAAAGCACATGTATCATTTCAGTTGGATTGATGACTCCTTAGGGGTTGAAATGCTAATGGAAGCCAAACCAGACTTCAGTTAAAGACAGAAACTCCATTTAAATTCTGGGCAGAAGACAAACAGTAAATGCAACATCAYGAGAATACAAACACGAGGGTGCAGAATTGCATTGTTCGCAACTACTGGAGTTTGACTGCTTGTATTATGTAGAGTAATCTGTAATAAATATTTTTGAAAGTTAAAAGGTGACAACAGCCACCTTTAATAGGCATTTTTGCAGCTGCTTTATGGGGAATCATATAGGTTTACAGTCCTTGCTTATGTTTAGATCGCAGTGGTGATTCCAGCAATGTGGTGTTTCTTGTTGAATGTCTTCTCTCACTTTTTACGGTAAAGGAGAATTGATGTACGCAGAACTGAGGAACAAGGTCCAGTTAAATGAATGACCATTCTGGTTTTATGAGAATATGGTGTACTCTGCAAGAGGAGCTAGAGGAGCAGAAGAGAACTCAAACACCAGTGAAAATAGCAGGTGAATTCTGGATTGACAGGACAATTTATATATTTTACTGGAAGCCAACAACTGCTGCAGGCCAAGCGGTCCCCTTTGCTTTTCAGAGAGAAGGTTTGGCCTCTTAACGCCATTCTGTCCGTGGCATTCCTGCTTCATCACCAGTAAAAAGTACGTTTTAGCACTGGCTGAAGTGCTAGTTTTTCAGAAAGCAGAGTTTGCTAGGAATTGGAGCAAAGCTACGAGCCTTTTTTGATAGACGCTCGGAAACCATCTTCCAGTGGCCATGTACCTGGGCCAAACACAGCACAAGCATCTCAAAGTCAAAACATAYACTGTCTCACCTCAGTAAGACCTCTTATGTATTAATGTGAATAAGGATATTGAGAGGATATAAAATACAAGATAGKTTTTGCTAACTAGAAAGCCAAGCAAGATATTTCCAAAGTTTCCCTGTGGCTTTATCATCTCTGCATGCAGCGTGCCTGGAAAGTGGCATCAGCAGGAACACAGCAGCTTTGGCACTCAGCGTATCAGTCTCTTATTAGATTAGCACATCTGGTGTGTTAGGCTTTAGAACAGATATGTTTGGAATTGAATTTGGATCAATATAGCAAGCAGGATTTGGTTACAGATCAGAGGAACTAAGGTTAAGGCAAGCCAGCCTTGATGTATGAGTCTTCYTCTAGATGCTCTTTTTCAGGTACAGAGCTCTGGACTTGTTCCTTGCTCCCTGGTTAAGAGAGTCTTAACTATCTCCTGCTTTCTTTCCCCCTGTTTTCTTGGCTGCTTTCCCTTTGTTATAAAAAGCCCAACTTTTGTGTTATGCCATTTTCTTCTCATTCTTTCTGTGCCCTAGTTTTGCAGCTTTTAGATTGAAGTTCATCATATTTCATTATGTTTGAGAGTAGCTTGAAATTCCTGTCTGAAAAAGGTTGTATTTTGAGCTCAATATTATTACTATTTTTATTTAAAACCATTCCCTACATGCTGTACCAGGCTCTCTCTCGTGTTAAGGCAAAGGGGAGAGAGTTTCCCAGTTCAGCATGCATTTTCTGTCCTGTTTTGTGAGTAGCTCTGAAAAAGAAACACRATCTTACTATGCTTGTCATTCCATATTTATGTAAAGAAATTATCAGTGCCAAGTGGAGCAGGAGGGAAGACTTAACACTGCTATATTGTTCCTATTTTTTGGTAGAATTTAGATTCTACCAAAGACTTTAGAAAAGTCTTTCCCCGCTGCTCCTGCTTTTCTGTGCAAAATAAGTCATCAGAAATGGAGGTAAATGTGAGTTGTAAGTAATTGCAATCTTAGTGTTGTGTCTGTCTTCTTCATATGATGGTTGGATCCCAACAGACTTTAGAATTAATTTCAAATAGATTCCATGTCCTAATACCATTTTTAGAGGCACACAGCTGTCAGAAATTTACTGCTCCCCCTGGAATTTTATAGTGTTGATCTCTACTACAGTGTGAACTGCTCTGCAGGAGCAGAATGATTTCATTGAGCTCCAGTAAGTGAAAAGTGGAGCGATTAAACCATAACTAGCCTTAATACTGTGGGATTGAAACCAGCTGAAGGGAGGGTGAATTTTTTGAAAATCAAATTGTCAAAAGCAGCCGATCCTTTCTGAGAAGCTTGTTCAGGCCTGCCTTCCTTGCCCTGGATATTGTCTCCATGAGCATCCTCTGTGCTCCAGGGCCACAGCCCTCCTAAGTGTGAGTCCGATCATGGGTAAGGTAAAGGAACAAAAGCTTGGATGGACTGGAATCAAGGCTAACGGGTGGGATATGTCCAGGTATTTTCATGTCAAGAGTGCAAGGCTTTGTATAGACTCTTGTGTTCAATCTTGGTCATACTTGAGCTGTATATTTGTTACAAAGTATTCATAAAAAATAGTCATATAAAGAGTTTCATTGAGACACGTGAGTGTGAACTTGTGTGTTTCATTAACCTGAGAGATTATGGGGGATTTTTGGTAGGAAAATTGTTGCTGTGAAAAACTCCGTTTCTTCATTCATCTCAGGTCAAGACTGCAGATGGAAAAGAAAATACACAGCAACTGATGGAAATGTGCACTCTGAAGAAAGGAGAGCTGCTGTCAGCATCTGTAAACAGAAATACATTAAGCCAATATGGCAGTGAAATTCATTTTTTTTTTCTGTTTTTTTCCCCTGTATTTAAGGAGTGCTGGTGATCTGCATGGGGGTGGCAGGAAAGCTGTGTTTATTATTTATTTGGAACTCATAGATTATTAAGCCCTTAAGGGCTGATATGAGACAGAACAAAAATAATGTGTGTTGATCTTAACGTCTGAATTTTTAGAGATGCRGTGGGCACTGCGGTGGCCAAAATGGCTCTAAAATAGCTTTTGTTTTGAAAATAAACCGATTAAAAGCTTGACATGAAAAAAGGAAGCAGTAACTGAGTCTTTAATTATGCTGCCTCCAATGCTCTTGAAATGACTTGAAAGCAGTGGTCCCTTGGGAGCYATTCAGATGAAGTCAAGCTAATGTCATGCTGGAAGGATACCTTCCCAGCTGCTCAGTGTAAATGGCAAAAGTCATGATTTGCTTGGATCATGGGAGCTTTTAATTCCTCATTTAATAACAGGTTCCCCTTGATGGACTTCTGCTGTTACTGTGCCTGGCTATACATGAAAGAGCAGAGCAGACGATGATAAAATACCCTTCCTCGAACACTGCTCAAGTGAAGGAGCTTTGCTGGCGAATATGATGTGCTCCGTTCAGTAAATTGCTGCCAGGARGTTCCCTGCTTTCAGTCCTGCCTAAGCTGTGGACTTTGTGTCCACTTTAGGAAATTAATTACTGACCTACCCGCTAATCAACACCTGGAGGCTGGCGGTACCTGTCCACATCTACTGTTTCTTAAGGCAGGTTGTATGCATGATGGACAAGGAGTCTCAGAGGRTAAAGTGTGAACCATAGCGAAGGCAGAAGGGAAAGTTCTGTGTTGATTTGGGCTGCTTTTAGCTTTTACTCCTCGATGTCTTCAGTGCTCAGACTGAGCAAGCATTTAGAGAATGGCTTTTAAGGGGCAGTTTTCTAGCAGGCACCAGACATTGCAGTCTTTGCTGGGTATCCTGGATTACGACACAGACTGCGCTTCTCACTTCTTGCAGACCTACGTGGGAAGCAGTGACATGCTGCAGGCAGCATGCGCTTTGTTCTGCCCGTCAGCTGCAGTTACAAGTCTTTTGTAGTCACAAACATCAGACTTGATGAAAACATGTTGCCTGTGAGCACTTCCTCTCAAGAAGCCAAATACTGCTCACCGTTGGACTCCTGCTGTCCCTCCTCTGAGCTTTTTCTCCTAAATTCCTATTAAATTCCTATTTGAATCTTTTTTTTTTTTTTTTTTTATCTCAGGTCACTTCACCTGGGATAAATACCTGAAGGAAACATGTGCCATCCCAGCTCCTGCACATTGCTTCAAGCAGGTAAGAGAGTGAATGGAAACAAGAGAGGCCAGGGAGAATGATCWACTTGGGACCTAGAGAGTTCTGCACCTGAGCACAAGAAAATGCTTAATATTAGAGACTTAATAGAAAGCCCAAGTGTGTTAGAGCAAATATTAAACAAGTATGTTTAGAAACTGCAGATGATACAGAGCTGCACATAAGGTTTAACTCTGAGTGAATGGATGGGAATGGGATGGGAATGGCCAAGCACTGGACATTTAACTGGATGGGAATGGCCAAGCACTTCTTATTCTCTGCTAAACACAGGATCTGAGTAGGCTATGATAAAATTTCTGCTGGATCCTGTCCAAAAATGGAGTGTCTCTGCAGAATTCGTTAGATCTTTGCGAGTAGAACAGTGACCCCTTGGGTGTCTTGATTGTGTGGGTTAGTGGGTCGCAGGGCGATCCAGGAGCAAGTTGGAATGTCATGTGCGAGTCAGAACAGAGGGCAGCAATTCAGTGTAGTATCTGTTTGGGTCTTGGGGTAGAAGGTAGAAGATTCTCCTGAAAAGATGCCTGAGAGAAAAAGACAGGTCTAGGTTTCTACATGATTATGTGCCACACAAGAGTGGTGTGATTGACAGATCTGCCAGGGCTCACTGAACTTTTTTTTGCTTCCATATGGTGCCTACGTGCTGTACTTGGAGGATACTGTCAGTCTTTGTCATCAGTCGTCAGTTTTGATGCACCCGAACCTTAACCCTCTGCCTGGGATGCTGCCTATATTAAAAACCTTGGCTCTTACTGGGTCCCTGTTGCGTTCTTTCCAGTCATACACTCCACCTACCAATGAATTCAAGATCAGTATGAAACTAGAAGCCCAGGACCCCAGGAACACCACGTCCACATGCATTGCTACCGTGGTGGGTCTGACAGGCGCCCGCCTCCGCCTGCGGCTCGATGGCAGTGATAACAAGAATGACTTCTGGCGGCTGGTGGACTCGGCTGAAATCCAGCCCATAGGAAACTGTGAGAAGAACGGYGGGATGCTGCAGCCTCCACTTGGTGAGCAGAAGCTCTTCTGTCTGGCCAGTGTCGAGCACCAGTGGCATCTGCGGGGACAATGGTGGCCAGTTTGTATTTCTGGGACGGGAGTATGGCCTGCCCCTGCCTGCTGCTGTAATGTAGAGCTTGGGCTGCTAATCAGATGTGCTCCATACTGGSTCTGTATTTAAGTTCCACATCATGGCATGGGAGGGGATATTTTTTGGAGTGAAGATGAAAGCTGGTTACTTGCTTGCCCTCTTTGCAACCCAAGCACAGGCTTAGTATATGCTGAYAATACTCACGTGCCTCCTGAAATTCTCCCTACATACTTCAAAGCTGTTTTCCAGCGATTCATATGGAAAAAAAAGTCCCAGAGCCACTTAGTTTCCTAGAGTACAAAGAAGCAAAAGAGGAATAACCAGAAGTCCTACTGACCCATGAGTTTGGGCGGTAAAATTGAATGCAGTGACTATGCGGGCTTTTTCACAGAATTACAGAGTGCTTGATGTTTGAGGGGACCTCTGGAGGTCATCTAGTGCAATCYCTCATCTCACAGAGGGTCACCTCAGGCACATTGTCCAGATCCCTGTCCAGACTTGCACATTTTTGAATGTCACCATCACTGGAAACTCTGCAACCTCTCCAGGCAACCTGTACCAGTGCTCTGTTAGTCTCACAGTACAGAAGTTTTTCCATATGTACAGACTTTCTTGTGCTTCAGTTTGTGCCCATTATGTCTCATCGTTTCACTCTGAAGAGTCTGGCCTCATCCTCTTTGTATCCTCTCTTGAGATGTTTATACCCATGGATAAGATCTCTACTCAGTCTCCTCTTCTGCAGGCTGAAGAGTCCCCGCTCTCTCAGCCTCTGTCTCATATGAAGGTGATCCTGAATGGCTGCCTGCGAAAGAACACAGCAAATCCAAGTTTCTCTTCTGGGAAGAGACACGCAGCCACAGGGGCAGCAGGGTCTGTAGCCCTAGCAGTGGCCTTACCAGAGACCATTGCCTGTTGCTCCAGTCTTTTGATCTTGTGTGCAGTTGTATCATTCTTGAAGGTGTTCCCTTTGAACAACATAGAACTGTCACCATCCGCCAGCGCTTTCCCCTTGCAGCTCTTGTATGTGGAGCACAGCACTGACATCTCGGTGGAGGTTCTTTGCTGGGATCTCTAAATCCTGATATAGAGAATAACCCCAGAGAGCAATTAGGGCTGGTGCACTTACTGTATCTGCTCATTCTGATACTGTGAGCACATTTATTTTCATTCTTGCTCTTCAAGTGCATTTGTGCCCACGTGTCGCTGGGGCAATTGAAGGTTAGTTTGAGTCCATTTAATGGGGAAGCATCATGATTGTAAAAGCTCCCAGTGATTTAAGTTCTGTCTTGAAAGAAGAGACACTTGCGGCATTTCATCAACTTGTTTGTTTAACTTTACTTCGCTACAGCTTTATAAATAACCTGGGTAGTCGAACATGCCTTCCAGTCTTATCTTCAGATAAACACACATCTTGACACTAACCAAAAGATGAGCTGATTTGCTGATTCTTTCCTGACTCAGCAGCAAGATTAACTTTATTTTGCATTCTACCACCCATTATTTTTTACAATGCCCTCATAAATCACTCTCTGAATTAGCACATTCCCAAACAAATATCTGATGTATAGCAATGGAAGCAATGTTCCATTAGAAAKACTTTTAATTACAATTTCTCCTGGAAAAACTCTAGTGAGCTTTGGTGGAATTGTAGGCAAAATTGCACTGGGGCTTTTGGAGCCGGCCTTTCTGAAGAAGGAAGAAACAAGTAAGCAAATCTGTGTTGTGACTCATCATGGCTCACAATGCAATACCTGTGTAAATYTAATTATACCCTTTCCCTTCATATTTACTATAAACAGAACCTGATCCAGCTAATGAATAGTAGAGATGGATATTGCCCTTTTTCGGATGTTTCTTGGAAACTCTGATCCAAGGATGCTGCACCTCACCACTCCTGTACAGCTTCCCCAGGAAGCATAGGTTGCCTTTCTCACTCTGACAGTGAAGAAATTCCTGTTGTGTCTTTTCTGAGCTTTGCCAGCAGATGGCAATAAATGTAATTGAATTTCTGATTAAAACTCACTTGCAACTGTGCCAGAGGGGTGGGTTAGTATATTGTGGAGGAAATCTTCATGCCCATCCCTGATGAGGATAACTATCACCTGCTTTCTGATATTGATCACCACTGTAGTTCCATGGGATCCTGTCTGTGTGSGTCCAATCCCAGGGTTAATTTCACAGCACTGCAGAGAGAAAGTGCAGTGCCATGTTCAGCTGAGCAGCAGAAATACCCTGTTTTAAACCAGTTTCTATACAGMAAGCTGTACTTTTAGCAAAGATGATGTTTGTGCTGTCTGAATCCTTTTGTGTTCATAGTTTTCAGATCTGCATTTTCTGTACAGTTAGATATCTGCTTGTTATCTTCAGTGGGACACTCCGTGCCATATTCTGTGTTGTGTTTTTCACCATTTATTGTTGTCTTTTTCTACTTTCTCTTTGATCTTTCTTTCTTTCTTATTCTTATTTGTTATGCCCTTTCAAGCAGAATGGAGATTGCCATCTGGTACCTTCTGGGTTAATAACAGAAGCCTTTCTGGAGAACAGCTTTGTGTCCACGAAGAGTGTGGAAGGAGCGGGGCTGACTGGTGGACACAGATCTGTTGTGCCATCATATTTAGTGCTGTAGACTCAGAGCATGGGGATTTGCTTTTTCCATCCCRTAAATCCCTTCCTGTGCTTCTCCACAGCAGGTTCCATCTGCTTCCCAGCCTCTGTTTCTTCAGGTTAGCTGCCCACTGCTGACTTCTGAAAGGTGGAAGAGGCCACCCAGAAGCTCACGTTCCACAGTGGGGAACAATCTGAATGTGCCCTTGCTGACTTAAGACCATTCCATAGTAGTGTCGCTAAAGTTACCAGTATTAGTTTCAAGTAAAGCATTCTGCCTGTATGGTCAACATAAAGGGTTTTGTTAAGGTATGGGAAAATTTCAATCGCGTATCCGTTTCCAGATGTTTCTTTTCAGCAACATCATATTTTGTGTTCAGAGTATCAGGAAGAAGTCAAAGCTGACTCTTCAGTGTTCTGGAGAGGAGAATGGTGTGGAGTGGTGCATGCCCACTGCAAAGGGGGAGGCTGGAAAGTCCACATCAGAACAGGCATGTGCTGCCTGATCCAGTGTTCCTCACAACCCTGAAGTCTTCATTTCTTCTTCTTTTTCTACAGGCTTTCGTCTGAATGCCTCTTCTTGGCCTATGTTTCTTCTGAAGACTCTAAATGGAGCAGAGATGGCTCCTATCCGGATATTTCACAAGGTATGTTATTTACTGTTTGTGAAGACATCCATATGACATGTCCCCTTTATTGCAGAGCAGCAAAATTGCACCTGGTTTCTTGTATGGAAACTATTGATCCCCAAAAAGAGAGAGATATTCCCCAACTTTGCTGCTTACCTAGGACAGAGCTGTATCTCTTGCAGCTGTGTTGTGTAGCAGATATCAAGATGCAGGTTGTGGTGTACAAAAAAAGGACTTCAAARTTTGGGCTTGCGAAATTCTGCTCGTTTTTTAGATAGGCTGTAAGTACTACTCAAATTCAGGAGAAGCCAAATGTAAAAGTCAGCAGCTCTCTGAAATATTTTATGGTACCAGAGACAGCAAGGAGTGCAAGCACCATCTATTGCTTATGAGATAGCCCTGCCAGTGGCACTTCTTCATTAGTATCCTTATTCCCTAGGGAACTTAGCGACAGAGGCCAGCGTAGTGTCATATGCGGTGGTACAGAATGCTTGGGGTGGCATCATTATATCTGAAACTAAAAGCTTAGGAAGAGCAAGCCCTAGGGGAGGATGACTGGTGGATTTCTCATATGTCTAGCAAAGCTGAAGATGGGGGAAGGTGATGGAGAAAGACTGTCACATCTCAACTTTTCTTGCCCTGTGAGGAACCATGAGGTGAGCTATTTGGAGCTTTATTTTGTGTTGTGTGACAGAATTGTCACAGGATGGCAATGGTGATTAATCACTGTCTGGATTTGATCCGTCAGCCTGGGGATCTCAAAGCAGCCAGTAGTGGATTTTGTTATTTCTTGACTTAAAAAGGCAAATGGTTGCATAGCTGGTTGTGCACTTCTAAATTCGGAATCAAAACTAAACCAGTAGCTCCCTTCACCTGCTTGTGGAAGTGAATTTGCTGATGGAAGGGGCAGGCTGGCCYGAGGAAGCACTGGCATATTCTCTTTGAGCATCTTTTCAAAATCTCCTTGTAGGAACCACCATCTCCATCCCAAAACTTCTTCAAGACAGGTATGAAGCTGGAGGCAGTGGACAGGAAGAACCCTCACTTCATCTGCCCGGCCACCATTGGGGAGGTGAGAGGTTCTGAGGTCCTCATAACATTTGATGGCTGGAGAGGTGCCTTCGATTACTGGTGCCGATATGATTCCCGGGACATCTTTCCCGTAGGCTGGTGCTCGCTGACGGGAGATAATCTGCAGCCWCCTGGAACAAAAGGTAAGGCCCATATTGTTGCTTAACTCACTCTTTTTTCTCCTTTCAAACTATTATTAAAGGACAGCAGTGCACGTGGAGACTAGAAGGAAGCACATTTGGGTGCTCTTTCTTGCTTTGTTACTGCTACGTGGTACRCAGTAGAGTACTCCCTTCCCCCTTCCTATGTCTCTGTTGCAAACTGCCTGAAAACCTTGTCAAAAGGTACAGATCATCATATCTATTAGCAGTGAAGTGAAAACCTAGAAGCAAAAGCATCGTCACAGCTRTTCTGACAGACTGATAGCTTCTTTCCTGGAGTGTAACTGTGTAACATTGCTCATCTCTGTTCCCTTTTAGGAGTTTTCTCAGAGTCTTTTCTATGTCTCCAGGACACACACTGTCCTAGGGAAGTTCTGCCCAATTGGAGTCGACTATTTGGAGATATAATAAGAGAATAATTAGAACCATCTATCTTGGCAGTATTTATCTTTAAAGTATCTCTGTGTCTTGTGGAGAAAAATAGTGAGAGTGATGAGGACGAGGCCAGTCAAGAACAGCAAGGCAGACTGCAGCTGTTCGTACTTCTGACACTTCCCTTGCTCTACTTTACACTGTAATCTCTCCTGGAAAGTTGGAAAAATTAGATCTGAACCAGGTAATATCTGCCTTGTTTGTGGAGTCATAACTTCATGGTTAAGAATGACATTGGGAAACTTTGTGTCAGTGACTGTCAGTGCTCAAATGTCTGAGCATTGACTGCTGAGCATTTTGGATGTCTGTAGCTTGCTGTGAATGCATTTGTGYTTAAGGACGCAGGAGCTGTTGTCCCCATCCACTGCCTTCTGGCATGAATGTGGTGGTTGGCAAGTCCAGTGAGTGCTTGTAAATAAAGCTAGAAGCAAGAGAGCAACCTGTCCRCCTAGCCTGAAGGATTCTTAGATTGGACTGATCCTCTTGAAAAATGGAGGGKCAGTTGATGATAGCTAGAGTTTGCCGGCTGTCTTTTGGTGTGAGCCAGCTCTGCTGTCAGTGTTGCAGAGCTCGTGTCGGGGTGGATGGCCTGAGGAAGTCTTGCATGATCTGTCCGAGCCAAGCTGTGTGCTTCCCTTGTGTCAGAAGATTTGTGTGATGACTCGGAATTGAAAGGCATTCACAGTGTTTGTCTTGGATTTCTGCATTCAGCCTTGATCTTCCCAGCCTCTCCTTCACTCCCTGCTGTTTGTTTGCATCTTGCCTGCTGCCACCCTGTAGGCTCCATGAAGCTGCTGTATAATCCTCAAAGSCAGCATTCGAGCTCTCCAGCAGTGACTCTAGAATCAGGAGTTGTTGCCCAGCTTCTTTTAGGCACTTCTCAGATATTGCACAAATGGCTACGATATTTTTGAGTTGGGTAGGAGCTTTTTTTCCAAGCAAATTGAGGGAGTTCTGAGGATGCAAGATTTCAAGTGCGATATAGAAGTCACATTGGCAGGAGAAATGGAGATCTACTGTCCATTTTGCAGCATATCTGTCTCGTGTGTGTAGCTCTGTGCTCCCTTCAGGCTTTTCTCTGCTGTGCACCAGCACAATAAGCAGGATGAGTCTCCAGAAATAATGCCCATTTGTGGGGACAACACTGTGATAACTTGAACTCTTCTTAGGAAGCATTTGTTTGCCCTGGTTGGCAGTGACAGAGTTTCCTTCTTGCATTAGCCAGTGTGCAATTCCTAAGTGCATAAAATAAATAAAATAAGAGCTTCTAAAAGAGCGTCTCCCCACTCCCGTCTGCAGGCAGCCTTCGCTTGCAGGGACCTTTCTGCTCTCTTGGACATATTTTTCAACAGCTGGGGCTGGAGCAGAGTTTTGAAGAGGTTGCACGACTCAGAAATGCCACWGAGTCAGGATCTGAGTTGTCTTTGTAGGATTGCACTTTCCTCTCCAAGGCAAGATTTTTCCTTCCCTCCCTCCCTTTGCTGTCCCAGACTTTCAATTTCTACTTTGTGGCATTAAACCAAGAGAAGGCAGCACTGAGAATTTTCTCTTTCTGTAATTCAATTCCTGCCTTGTCCCTTTACTCTTCAAGCTCAAATGCCCTTTTCCTCCAGTGAGTGCTTCTTCTGAGGGGGGCTGCAAGAGGCTTTGCCATAAAGGGATCCCTATTTCCTGTAATTTCAGGGAATTTTTCAATAAAGCTTCCTTCTGTGCCAGCACAGAGCCTGAAAGGCAACAGTGAGGTTTGGGAGATTCCCTTCCCAAAGGGGAGAAATTGCTGTGCAGAACTGTCAGTACTAACTGCAGCAAACACCGAGCTAATGTTACACCAGGTAGACCACAAGGTCCAAGGAGGGTGAGGTGCAGCACTTGGGACAACCAGAAAGTCCTCTAAATGTCCTCACAAACAAAAAAAAKCTCACCAAGTGAGATCATGCTAAGGGGAAGCAGAACTTCAAAGAGGCCAGGCGTSTTTGTTTAATACTGGTAGCTTAATTCAACTCTAATCTGTCCCTTGTGGCTGCTGCCAGTGGAGGTGGAGGAGAGCAGGACTTCTCTGCACATCCCAGCTTGGCTCCTGGCACCTTAGGGCCTCCCACCCTTGGCACTGTTGGCTTGGCTGGAGCTGCTGGATGGGGCATGGGTGGAGCTGGGCCCTGGCCAGCCTTGCTTGAGGGCGCTCTGGAGGGTGCACGTATGTGAGGGGAGGAAAGGGAGGGCTCCCAGTGAGGAGGAGCAGCTTGCGGCTCCGCACACTGGTGCTGCAGTCGCCTGAGGGTCAGTGGCTTGATGGGAGAGCTCCGCTGMGCTCGGTGGCTCCGGGTCCCCAGCTTCTTCAAGCTCCTAGCTTGGGATGGAGCTAGGGAGGATTTCAACTAAATACCTGCTGCAAGGAGCGTGGCTTTGGGAGGATTTCAGTGTGAGAGCTTGAGCTAGGGAGGATGTCAGGAGTGATCCCAATCCTCTGTTCCAGGTGCTCTGTATCTACCTGTGGGATGGGGAATTTGGGGGAAGGCTCTTTTGGGATTATGGGATGAGCTGAAATGAGGCAAACCCTATCTAGGACCTTCCTCGGCTTCTGCATGCTATTTCAGCAGCAGCTGGAAAAGCCAGGCCAYTGTAACCTTCCTGAAGAGAAGAGGTCTTTTATGGATGTTCATCAAGCTTCCTACTGCTTCCCACCCAAATCAGCAATGGGCCTCTCCTAATTTTGGCTCTTAACAAGCAATCTCTCACCACACAGAGTGTCCAGCATTTTATATCAGTTTTCATGCCTCTTGCCCCTGTGCTCTTAAAAAATACCCTGGGCACTGAGGAATCGGAGGTGGAAGTGGACAGGATCTATCTTGTGTTGGATTGCAGTTTTGACCTCTACTCTGAGAGTTATGAAGTTATGTTGTGTAGGAGTCACTAGTGACTTGTGGGTTCACTTTAGACTTAGAAATKAGCTCTTTTTCGTTGCTTTTGGAAGAGATGTTTGCACTTTACTGTGAGGGTGACAGAGTCCTGGAACAGGCTGCACAGAGAGGTTGTGAAGCCTCCTTCTCTGGAGATCTTCAAAACCCTCCTGGATGCCACCCTGTGCCACATGCTCTAGATGTCCCTGCTTGAGCAGGGAGGTTGGACTAGRTGATCTCTAGAGGTCCCTTCCAACATTAGCTACTTTGTGATTCTGGCTGAATCAAGTAGTCATAGAAAGCAAAGCTTGCCAATACATAGAATAGATACATATACATAAAATATGTATCTATATGTATATGTACATATGTATATATTTATATGAATACATAAAATATGTATATAAAATATGAATTAAGGTTGCGTGGGGAATCTAAACCAAACTTTCCAGAAGGGCTTTTAGACTTTCGTGTTGCCTGGTGTAGTCAGAGYGTCAAAGTTAGGACAAAACAGAAGCAAATGGCCTTTCCTGTTTTCTTTAGATATTACAGCACTCTAAAGCATGGCCAGGGTGCACTGTATACAACTTATGGGCAATCCTCAATTTTATCAGTAGAAGATGCCAAAGATCCATTGAGTAGGGAAGGAATTCTTCCTCTCTGCCAGGCCCAGGGATGTTTCCRTTTGGATCGTATAGTGGACTCAGTATGTGACTTAACAGATATTTTAGCAGATATCAAAGAGAAAATGTTGTGTTTCTCAATCTGTGAGCTTCAAGGTTTAGATGAAGGTGTGATTCATCTGCTCATTGTACTAGTCCATTGGTTAGAATTATAAACTGGGGCAATGGTAGAGGTTGAGTGAGCGAAATACATAGGTCACCTRATACTTTTATTTTCTCTGCTTTTTAATTTTTATAGATTTCCTACTCCTTGGGGAATGCACTAGTAAGTTAAACTTTCATTGCTCTTAAATAGAAAAAGTAAGAAGAGTGTTTTCAGCTCACTGAATAAGCAGAAAAGAGATTTGGRAAGCTGTTTTGGAGAGTCATTTTCCATTACGAACAGTAGAAAAAGTTCAGTGCTGCCAGAACACTGTTCCAGTAGACCTAAAGACGAGGATTATCACTTACTTTAAATCACATCTGGGGAGGAAGTGAGTAGGAGACACACTGAAGTACAACTATTAAGGTTCAGGGCAAAACAGATTGAAGAGGGAAATGTGAGATTGATAAAAATCATTGAGAAGAAAGAAAAAGAGAAGAGCCTAGTTAATGATTGTAGTTTCCAAGGGCACCTGCTCTCAGCAGGGAAGGGAGTGTAAGGAAAATCCCTATGAACTAGACATGGTCTTGCAGACAAGAGATGCGTCTGCTTCTTTTTTCCAAATTGAAATTTCACAGTTTGGAGTAATGTGCAGTCCTTTGTAGTCCATGAAGTGCACATTGGAAGAGGATCCAACAGAAGTTGTTTTCCGTTCTCCTGTAGCTGGTGGCATGTAGGGTTGTGAAACCCCTGGGGGAAAGTAACCAAATAGGGGGAATGGTGGGTACCTCTGCAAGGTGTCTGGTGGCCCTCAGCTCTTCCACTCAGGGAGATGATGGCCAGTTCTGGAGAAGTGGACATCAAACCCAGTGGAAGATGACCTGTGGT